TCAGTTTCCTCATCTATAAAATAAGCTAAAGAAGAAAATGGCAAACCATTCCAGTCAAGAAAGCCCCAATGGGGTCATGAAGAGTCAGACACAACTGAAGTGACTCCACAACAACAACATCTTCCTGACTCCAGGTCCAGTGCTCTACCCACTGTACCATCCAGCTGCCCTTTTAAACCGTTCTTTCTCCTATCCTCTCCTGACTCCTAGTAGGATCATTAGCTCATATATCTAGAGCTGGAAGGAGCCTCGAAAGCTATCCAGTGGCGAATCTTTATTTTACAAAGGAAGGAGCAAAGGTACAAGAATGTTGAATGGCTTGGCCAAATAGCAAAGGTGTACTACATATATTTGTGTGGAAACACACAGACACACACACATGTACACACCTGTATTTATATATATTAATATTTAAGGTTAGGATAAGGCTATAGATAATTAATAGGGATAGAAATAGGGAGAGAGAATACAGCGATAGGTAGAGTTTCTTTTTTTAAGGAACATGGTAAGAGTGCTAGAGATAGTATTGAGGAAAGCAAAAGGGCTGGTGAATAGGAACCAGTTAAGTACATAAATAAGTTGAGGTAAGCAATGGAAAAAGGAATCAAGTTAATATTAGAATTAGATAGGAAATAGCCTCAAAATTCAACTATTCAACTAAATCGCAAAGAAAACAAAAGCCTAACCTTTTGAATAGGCTTTAATTGCATCCTAATTTGCATAATTAGTTTATTCTTCTGTCTAGTCCTGGACAATCAATGTCAAATTTCTATTAAATTTATCTCTGAGTTCCCAGAAAACATCAGGATTTTGGACACAATAAACAATAAAAAAAGATATCGCAACCCACAAATATAGAAATAAATGTCAAAAGATGGGGGGTGATATTCAGTGATGTTTTAGGAGGAAAAACACATGACAATATCTTTGTAGAAATAAAATGTGATCTAAGCTTATTTGTCATCATGCCAGCCAATTTAGAAGTAGTTTTTTAGGGCTTTTGAGAAGAGGAATGAAGAGGTAGCTACAGCAGAACCCTAACCTACTCCATGTCAATCACACCAAAAACAAACGACATGAGAGAAAATCTCTAACAACAAAACACGTCCAGGGATCACAAGAACATAAATTTGGAACTGGAAGAGTCTTTAGAGATTATCTAGTCCAACTTCCTCATTTTACAGATAAGGAAACTGAGACCCAAGTCCAAGTTCACAAAGAACATCACAAGATCATCAATTCCACGAGGGAACCACCCGCCAAGGGAGATATGAAGTAACAAATTATTTTCATATAGTATTTTTAAATTTATGCAGTGCTTTACCTACATCATCTTATCTGATCCTCATAACCATTGGGGAAGGTATTTGATAAGTGAACTAACTGAGGTACAGAGCGGTTAAATGACTAATCAATGGCTGAAGAGCTAGTAAGTGTCTAAAGCAGAATTCTAACTTGAAACCCAGTCAGTGCTCTCTATACCACTGAATATAGCCTTTGTACTTTTCCTTTTTAATCCTTCTGGGGCACAGACCTAGTAGTGGTATTGCTGAGTCAAAGGGTATGCAGAGTTTTATAGCCCTTTGGGCATAGTTCCAAATTGCTCTCCAGAATGGTTAGATCAGTTCACAATTCCACTAACAATGCATTAGTGTCCCAATTTTCCCATATTCCTACCAACATCTGTCATTTTCCTTTTCTGTCATATTAACCAATTTGATAGGTATAAGGGTGTACCTCAGAGTTGATTTTAATTTTAATTTCTCTAATCAATAGTGACTTAGAGCAATTTTCGTGTGACTTTAGATAGCTTTGATTTCTTCTGAAAACTGCCTATTCATATCCTTTGACCATTTATCAACTAGGGAATGATCTGTTTTCTTATAAACTTGCTGTAAAAATTTTCCACCAGTTTTCTGCTTTCCTTTTAATCTTGGCTGCATTGGTTTCGTTTGTGCACAACCTTTTTTATTTAATGTAATCAAAATTATCCATTTTACATCTCATAATGTTCTTTATCTCATTTGGTCATAAATTCTTCCTTATTCATAGATCTGACAAATAAATTATTTTATGCTCCCCTAATCTGCTTATAATATGCCTTTTATGTCTAAATCATATACCTATTTTGAACTCATCTTGGTACATAGTGTAAAATGTTGGTCTATACCTAATTTCTGCCAAACTGTTTCCTGATTTTCTCATCAAGGAGATAAAATCTGAAATACTAATACCACAAAAGAAGTTTTTAGGGATAAGGATAATAACTTTAATTATTAGACACATGGCAATACATTTTAGATTTTAAAAAACCAAACAAGAGATAGAGAACATCATGAGAAGCAAAATGGATGATTTTGATTACATTAAATTCAGAAGTTTTTGCACAAAAAAAGCCAATGCAACCAAGATTAGAAGGGAAGCAGAAAGCTGGGAAACAATTTTTACAGCCAGTGTCTCTGATAAAGGCCTCATTTCTAAAATATATAGAGAACTGAGTCAAATTTATAAGAATACAAGTCATTCTGGGGCAGCGAGGTGGCACAGTGGATAAAGCTCTGGCCTTGGAGTCAGGAGGACTGAGTTCAAATCTAGCCTCAGACACTTGAAACTTACTAGCTGTGTGACCCCTGGCCAAGTCACTTAACCCCAATTGCCTCACCGAAAAAAAAAAAAAAGAATACAAGTCATTCTCCAATTGATAAATGGTCAAAGGATATGAACAGGCAGTTTTCAGATGAAGAAATTAAAGCTACCTATAGTCATATGAAAAAATGCTCTAAATCATTATTGATTAGAAAAATGCACATTAAAACAACTCTGAGGTACCACATCACACCTATCAGATTGGCTAATATGACAAAAAGGGAAAATGATAAATGTTGGAGAAAATGTGGGAAAATTGGAACACTAATGCCTTGTTGGTGGAGCTGTGAACTGATCTAACCATTCTGGAGAGCAATTTGGAACTATAAACCTGTGCATACCTTCTGACCCAGCAATACCACTTCTAGGTCTACATCCCAAAGAGATCATAAAAATGGTAAAAGGACCCACATGTACAAAAATATTTATAGCAGCTCTTTCTGTGGTAGAAAAGAATTGGAAATTGAGGGGATGCCCATCAGTTGGGGAATGGCTGAACAAGTTGTGGTATATGAATGTAATGGAATACTATTGTGTTATAAAAAATGATAAACAGGCAGATTTCAGAAAAACCTGGAAAGACTTATATGAACTGATGCTGAGTGAAGTGAGCAGAACCAGGAGAACATTGTACATAGTAATAGCCACACTGTGCAATGACTACATTTCATAGCGTGGCTCTTCTCAGCAATGCAAGGATCTAAGATAACTCCAAAAGACTCATGATGGAAGGGACAGCGAGGTGGTGCAGTGGATAGAGCTCTGGCCTTGGAGTCAGGAGGACCTGAGTTCAAAATCCAGCCTCAGACACTTGACACTTACTAGCTGTGTGACCCTGGGCAAGTCACTTGACCCTGATTGCCTCACCAAAAAAAAAAAAAAAGACTCATGATGAAAAATGCTATCTACGTCCAGAGAAAGAACTACGAAATCTGAATGCAGATTGAAGCATACTATTTGCTCTCTTTTTTTCCTTTGTTGTTTTGCTTTGTTTCTTCTTTCTTGTAGCTCCTACCATTAGTTCTAATATTTCTTTACAACATGACTAATGTGAAAATGTTTAATGTGAATGTATATGTAGAGCCTATATCAGATTACACGCCATCTTGGGGAGGTGGGAAGGGAGGGAAGGGGATGAAAACTCAAAAACTTATGGAAATGAATGTTGAAAACTAAAAATAAATTAATTAAATTTTTTTTAAAAAAGAAATTTAAAAAAGCAACAAAATGGAGAAAGACACAATAAATTCCAGATAAATTTCTTTTTTCTTTCTTTTTTTTGGGGGGGGGGTGAGGAAATTGGGGTTAAGTTACTTGCCCAGAGTCACACAGCTAGTGAGCATTATGTGTCTGAGGCTGGATGTGAACTCAGGTCCTCCTGACTTCAAGGCCGGTGCTCTATCCACTGTGCCACCTAACTGCCCCCCAGATAAATTTCAAAACATTCATTACAAGGAAATGATATGATTTAATAATTATCCTTATTATCAGTGGATAAATGTTCAAAGGTTTAAAGAAATGATTCACAAAATAGAAACTATAAAAATTAAAGTTAAAAAAAAAAACCAAGTAAACACTTGGAAAAAGTTCATCCTTATTAACAATTAAAGCATGACATATTCTAGGAACTCTGATTCACAAGCCAGAAGTCATCCTCTACTCATTCCTCACACCCAGTTATTGGCAATTTGGAATCCACCTCCTTTGTTTAGGACTCCATGCCTCACCCCAAACCATTACAACAGTCTCCTAACTGACCTCCCTTCCTCCAGTCTTTCCCTTCTCCAACGCATCCTCCAACCGGATACCAGATGGATACTATCGAAACATGAGTCTCATCAACCCTTGCCCAAGAAATTCTAGTGACTCCCTTTTGCCTGTGGGATAAAATACAAACTTTCTTGGTTGGCTTTTGAAGCCTTATGTGTTAGGCTTGAGGTATACTGCTTTGCTCACATACTCTGCATTGCAGCAGGTTAGTGTGCTTGCTGCTCCTTGTACATAACATTCTATCTCTGATACATGTCTAGAATATGCTCTCCTCCTTCTGCTTCAAAAAAAAAAAAATCACTCGCTTCCTTCTAAGTATCACCTCTTACACAAGGCTGACCCTGGTTTCCCTAGGAGTCCCTGATTTCCATACTCTGTCACTAGATATTACTAGACAGATGGAGAGATAGTGAGATAGAAACATAGGTACAGTTGCATCCAATTTTTTATGTACATTTGGTTTTCCCCCCAATTGAATGTAAGTTCATCGTGGGCAAAAAAGATTTCATTTTTTTTCTTCATCTCCCTTGACCATAGAACATTTTAGTAATTCACTAGCTACCACATTGCCTCCTAGATATCTGCTCCCAGCTGGTTAATCTGAAACCCTGGGTAACTGCAACTACTCCTGCTCCCAGGATGCTAAACAGCATTGGGAAAAGTTTTACCCAGAATAAATTTATGCAGCATAAGCTGGGCTCTCACTGCTGCCCGGTCATTCTCCTACTCTTAATTTCTGGACTCCCTTTCTCATTCCTTATAGGGACCATTCCGAACAGTTTCTTCTCTCCTCTTAACAGACTCTTAACACGCAGAGACAAATGAGGTCATCTAATCCTCCTCTTGATTTCTCAGCAACAACATCCACTCTCTTCCTCTGAGACAGGAAGGAGGAAGATTATCATTACTCTTATTATCTTATTATCTTACTAACACTAATCCCTCCAACTCCACTCTAGATAACAATCCCCTCAAGACTCCTCAAAGACCTTACTCTAATAATCATCCTTTCTCATGCATCTTTAAATTCTTTTTTCCCACAGTTTCCTTCCCATCTTCCTGCACACATACTCAGGTGTCTCCAGTCCTAGGAAAGGTTCCTGATCCTTCTGTTCCCCATCCAGCTACTGACCCAATTCTTCCCTTCTCGTTATACCCAAAATTCTTAAAACTTTTATACATGAGGTGTCCACCTATTCTCCTGTCAATCCCTTGCAATCAAACTTTGATTTCTACTGAAACTCTTTTCTCAAATGTCACTATTAATCATCTACTAGTCAAATCAAATGGCTTTTTTCAGTCCTCATCCTCTGAACTATCTGAAGACTATGACACTCTTGGTCACCTCTCTATTGGGATATTCCCCACTCCTATTTTTCATGCCACACACCACCATGGTAAAGGCCTTCATTGTCACTCTACCAGACTATTATAATAGCCTCCCAAAAAGGTATTCTGCCTCCAGTATCTCCCTCTTCTGATCTAGCCTTCACACTACTACTAGATTGATCTTTCTTAAGCCAAGATTTGGTCATTTCTTTACTCCAAAAACTTGGCTACCTACTGTCTATATGTAAAATCCAAACTCCACTGCCTGCCATCCAAGGCACGGTATAATCTGGTGCTGTACAATCTGATGCAAGCTTACTTCATGCTACTCCCTCTACTCTAGGCTTCAGTCAAAGGGAAATCCTCATTTCGTGGTTCTGCATGCCTTGCTTACATCGTTCTCCCTCTGTATGAAATATCTTTTCTTTTTCCACTTCCTTGATGAATTCTGACCCCTACTTTAAAACCTGACTTAAATACTACCTCCTTCATGAATATTTCCCAGCTCCCTCAGAGTGCCCTACTCCACCTCACACCTCCACTGCCTTTAAAGTATTGTTTTATAATAGTTGTCTGTACATATATCACATCCTCTAACTAGACTCCATGAGGTAACACGTAGTATCTTATTTTAATTTTGTATCTACCCCCAAGACCTAACACAACAATATGCACATAATAAAAACTTAATGTTTGTCAAATCAAATTGAATTAACTGAATTAAAAGCTTTCTCTGTCCCAAGAGCTAAGGAACATTAAATTTAAATAAATAAATTTTCTTTTCTAAAATGAAGCTAAAAAAAAAAGACCCATTATTAAAAAAAAAAAGCTAAAATAATTTGTTTCTGCATTTTACCAAACATTAAACTATAGCCAAGAGAGATTGCTTAAATCTCAAAAAAGAAACACATTACCTTAAGCTGTTGAATAGTTCGCTGTTTGACATCCAATTCCTGGGAAAACTGGTTTTTAATTTTCTCAAGTTCATTAACTTTATTCCTCAGTAATTTCTCTTGGTCACGCATTATAGATATCTGCAAAGAGTAATGTTTATTAAACAGATTGAGCACTTTTTAAAGAAACAATTAACAATTTTGACCATTTTTAGATTTATATATATTTTTGAAGATATTAAAAAATTATAGATTCAATCACTATATAAAATGTCAAGATTTTTCCTCATTACTGTAACACAGAATACAGACAAATCAACGTACATTTTCATCTTACATTGTTTTAAGAGACTCAAACTTTCTAAATAAATTCTATAGGAATCAATATAATACTTTTATGTAATAGTAACATGTTTAATCATGTGGAAAGTCCAATGTAAAGAGTACTGGATTTAAATTCAGAGGACATGGTTTCAAATCCCAGCTTTGCCACCAATTACTTACTACCTGTGTGACCTTGGACAAGTCCCTCAGGCTCTATGGGACACAATATCCTTATCTGTAAAACCACGGGTCCAACCCAATAATTTCAAAGGTCCCTTCCAATGTTATAATTCTACAAGAATTTGTGACTCCAAGTTAATTATTTATCTCTCTAGCCCCACTCCTGGATAAACACAGTATGATGAAAAGAATACTGAAGCTGGAGTCAGAAGGCTTGAGTTTGATTTCCAGGTCTGCTACTTTCTACTTGTGTGATCCTAGGCAAATAACTTCCCCCCTCTGGGCCACTTTTCTCATTTGTGAAATGATGTGAATTGGACTAAATGATCTCTAAGGTTTCTTTGAGCACTAGGTTCTGTGACACTACCTTCACTTACTGTATTATGAGTATAGGATAATGGCTTCTATTAGAGTATTTCTTAAAGCAATGACAAGCTTGGTCTATTTGAATCCAGAAGCAATAAATGAATTAATTGTTCAAAGTGGTAAATAAATGATTACTAATAATCATAGTAAATCACCTTAACCAAACAATAAAAAGTATGTTACCCTAAATTAGTAGATTCTTTAACCAAAGTTGTTCAACTACAAAATTACTTAAAATCTAGAAATCCACATCTATAAGTCATCTTAAAATGAAAGGTCTAATTCCTTATACTGACTGACACAGGAAGACTTGCAGTACTAAAATTAGCAAGGACAACAGCTGAATTAAGATATACCTAAGTCAAAGATTTCTCAGGCCTCACCCATACATATAATTTGAGCTAATCTGCTGTTTATTTTTATATTGTCAAACACACTGCCCACAGGCCACATTTGGTGTACAACATTCCCAAGTGAGGTAAAAATAGGATTAAAAGTAAGAATATTAACAAAATAAAAATACAATAAAACATAGACAATATTACATTTTAAACTAAGTAAATATGCAGCCAGCAAGGATCCTTATGTACAGACTGGTGGCCACATTTCTATTTGAGTTTGATACTTAAGATCTATTCTAGGAGATACCTCTTAGAGTCAGCAAGTATAGAGGCTGGTAATTAAAATGCAACTCTGAAATTGCCTCTAGATCACTGATGCAGGGGGGAAAACGGAAAGGAATTCAGTTTGCCTTAAAGGCAACAGGAGGCAGAAACCACGGTAGGACTGAAGGAGCACTGATGATGGACCCCTAAAAGGCCCTGGACTTTCCCATGTGGCCCAAGTCCCTGGCATTTGCCTGGGGCACCCGGTCCTTCCAGATCCTTCTGTGTTACCTCCCAGTCACCCAAGCTAGGAGCTTCACAGATGTGTAACATTGCATGTATTTTCTGATTTTTCAATGTTCTGAAGAGTTTTACTGATTTTTTCCCCCTTTTTCCTCTTTTTCTTTAAAAAAAAAAAAAGAGATCTTTCTGTGTGACCCTGGGCAAGTCACTTAACCCCACTGCCTAGCCAAAAAAAAAAAAAACCAGAAACAACAAAAAAAAAAGATCTTTGTTACAGACATAGTTCTTTGAGAGGAAAAGGGAAGTATATAAGGGGGAATTTAGACAATATAAAAAGAAAAGATATCAATAAAAATTTTTTTTAAAAATTAGACAATTTACCCATGTTTCTGGGAAGAGTTTAGAATTTTTATAGGAGCTATGCAATTTCTTAGAGATAACCTAGCCTGTTCTCCTCCTGCTTAATTCTGGAAGCAACTTGTCCATTTCAATTGTCCATCATAGACATTCACATTATCACACATGCACATACATAGAGACAAATTGTCCAGGCTGTCCATCTAATTTTACATCATGATCTGGGTAAGAGACATTATTAATCCACTTGGTTTTTTCCTAAGCAGTCCACAAACATGAGCATCTGTAGAACTCATCAAATATATGGAATCTATCTTTAGATTAGACTATGAGCTGGGTCTCTTCCCTTACGGTGGCAACATGATGGTTTTATTAATGTGTATGATCAGAAAGTCACTGAACAAGGTTATCTCTGTATAGATCTCTTTCAAGGAATCAATGACGTTGATGTATATGGGAGATTACTTGGTAAAAGAAAGGCATTTCACTCTATTAAGTCAGATGCTTTTTTTTATAAAAGCAAATAGTACATGGATATCTCGTATTCTCTTCATCTTCTAGACAGTTCTGGGGGAGTAAAGATATGATATACTAAGCACTTATGAAACCTACTAATATTAAATATCTAGATGCATATCAAAGTGACTCATAAAAAAATTTTATGAGAAAATAGGAATCTAGGTTAGTAGTGATTGGTGTTTTCTTCATTGCCTTTCCTCAATATTAATAAGGTTCAAGATTTACTCCACAAATTTGGCTCTTTCCTTTTTTTCAAATACCTCATGACTCAATCCTTTAAGATCCCTGCAACTGTGTAGCCAAAGATATCTCTATACACTTGGTCTAATTCAGGTGGATTTTCCCACCATTTTTGTCTTTGTTGTCACATCTACCTAAGCACACATAGGCCTATGATATAGAGACCAAGTGCAATGGCTCTACTTACTTGACAGCAAAAATTTGTCATAAAAATATTTGCAGATCTTTTCCATTTTTGTTCTGTTTGTTGTTTTCCATTTTTTTTTCATCCACCCTTAAAATAACTCTGCTTAGTTGGGTCTCTTGCCAAATTTTTAAAATCAACTGATTTTACCTGCCACTGTTTCTCTATGCTTTGTGAGGCAATACTACTCATGATCTTCCATCATCCTTCACAAAATTTTATACACAGTTTATATTTTCATCTGACATTCCCTTTGGCCACCACAACTCTGTATGGACGAGTCAAATATTTGCTGACTAAGCTATTCTTGAGGTTCTTTTGGTTTCCATGATTAGGTGACTGAATTACAATGGATGCACTTCCGTTTATTCTGCTTTTCATAATCTTTATTTGTCATTGGTAAATTGTTCAATAACAGATTTTACCTTAATTCAAAAAAATTCCTAAGAGTAACTAAACATTTGAAGAATAGTACCTGAAAAAAAAATTATCATCAGGGTTTAATGCAAGGGTCTCAAGTGCCAAATGGAACAATCTCAGCCAATGAGACAAGACATTGGCTCCACAGTAGAAAGGAATAGATTTTATATTTTCTCTTTCCTTCTCTTCCTATCTTGTTATTTCCCCACCTCCCTGCTTCTACTTTTCTTTTGTTTTTTATTTTTCTTTCCCTTTACTAGGTAAAACACAAAACTGAAGAATTGTGTTTTTAATGTCATAATTTTTCATTAATGATTTAACACTTTGTGTTAAATTATGTACACTGTGATAGTGATTACTTTAGGTTGGAACATTTTTCATCTCTGTATGCTGACTTTTAAAAATTGTTCCTTGCTGTTTCTTTTCTGAGCCTTTCAATTAATTTTTTCTATCAGACTTCCAAGAAGTTACTAATCCCAAATCTAATGTCACGTTCTAAATATATTAATTTTCACTAATTAAAGTTTTTTTTTAACTCTTGACTTTAGGGGTAAAGACTCCATTGCTAAAATTATTTCACAACATCACATCCATTTGATAGAAAAATCTGTGACCAATCTGAAATAACTTACCTCTTTCTGTACTTGCTCAATCTGTTTTTTGGCATCAGCAAATTTCTCTTTCAGATCAACATAGTCTTCTTCTTTCCGCTGAAGATCTTCTTTCAGCTTATGTGTAAGAGCAGAGTTGGCAGAGAGTTCTTCCTTCAGTCTTAAAAATACCATAAAGTTACTTTCCAATAGTAAAGGAGAGATGCAATGTTATTATTCTAGGATCACAAGTGTTAAGTGTTTAAGTACAATTTTACACAATTATATCTTATCACAAATGTTTAAAAATTCAAACTACACATAAACCTAATTCATGATATCATGTATTCAAAAAATAAAGAACCAGGACTTCCATGTAAGATGGCTGCCTGTACAGAGGCTGACAGCCCAGATTCCACATGCCTGCTTCAACAACAACCTACAAAATGCACCAAGATAGGGGCAGCTAGGTAGCACAACGGATACAGCACTGGCTCTGGAGTCAGGAGGACCTGAATTCAAATCCAGTTTCAGACCAGACACTTGACACTTACTAGCTGTGTGACCCTGGGCAAGTCACTTAACCCCAATTGCCTCGCAGAAAAAAAAAATGCACCAGTATAATTTATGCACTGATGGTGGAGTTGTAAACTGATTCAACCATTCTATAGAACAATTTGGAACTGTGTTCAAAGGGCTAAAACCAAGCACACTCTTTGACCTGGCTATACCACTACTAGGTCTGTATCCCAAAAGAGATTAAAAAAAACAAAAAGAAAAGGACTTATATGTATGAAAATATTTATAGCAGCTCTTTTCTGGTGGCAAAGAACTGGAAATTCAGGAGATGCCTATCAATCAGGGAATGGCTGAACAAATTTGTTTTGTGATTATGATGGAATACTATTGTGTTCCAAGAAATGATGAGCAGAATGCTCTCAGAAAAACCTGGAAAGACTTACATGTGCTGATGCAAAGTGAAATGTACTGTGTGCAAAGTAACAGCAATATTGTAGGATGATCAGTGGTGAACGACTAAGCTATTTTCAAAATACAATGATCAAAGACAATTCTGAAGGACTTATGATGAAAAATGCTCTCCATCCCCACAGAAAGAACTGATGTGTCTGAATGCAGATTGAAGCATACTTTTTTTACTTTATTTTTCTTGAGGTATTTTTTGGTCTGTTTTCTTACATGATTAATATGGAAATGTTTACATTGACTACACATGTATAACATATCAAATTGCTTGTCTTCTCAATGAAGTGGGGTGGGGAGGGAGGAAGGAAGAGAATTTGGAACTCAAAGTTTTAAAAATGAATGTTAAAAATTGTTTTTACATGTAACTGGGGAAAAATAAAATACTAAATAAATTTTTTTAAAAGGGATTTGAAAGAGTTACATCAAAATCATTTAAATAACCTATAAATATTATGTTTCTATGTAGAACTTTCTGTATTTCACCATAGCTTTTCCTTTAAATACTTAGATGTTATATCATTCAATACACTGTCTAAAAAAAAGTATCAGTGTAAGAAATGATCAAGAAATGTGAAAAACTACAGTGACTTTTCCTATTCCAGAATTACAAAAAAAAAAAAAGTCAGCCAGAAGACCATAAACAATAGTAGCAAAGGGAGTCAATCACCAGCAGACCCAGCACTAGTACAAACAAGCCAACAGCTTCCAAGTACAGTCAGGCCAGAGATACATGCAGCTTGGAAGATTCAATACTCCAGAGGCAGAAGAAACAGAAACTGTCCCCAAGATAGTCAGAAAGCCATAGTGTCGGCTTTGGAACACCTATAGTTACAATGACGCGGGCAGGAGAAGCAGCACTCAGACATCCCTTAGACAATATATAGGGCGTGGAAGATCCAATACTCTTAACTTCAAATATTTGGAAAGGACCTGAGCCAAAGAGACAGAAGTCAATACAGGAACCCAGGAGATCCAGGTTGGGACCAATCAGAACCAATCACTCCATCTGAAAGTGCAGCAGGGGAGAGAGACTAAACCTTAGCATAAATCTCCAATACAGAAATTAAGACTGAAAATATAAGTCAATAGAAGTCACTGATCACTATAAATAATTATTGGAGATACAGAGCTGCCCCAAAATCTAAGCTAGAAGGAAATAGCAATTCTGTAACAAAGTCCCAAAGGCAAAAAAGTATTTTCCACAAAGTTGACATGAATATCTAGAAGAAATGATGCAAAAGATTTTTAAACCTAAATTTAAAATTCTCAAAATATTAGAATAAACAACAACAACAAACAAAAAAGTAATAAACCTTACCTAAGAAATGTACTCCCTGAAAATCAGAATAGACCAAAGAGAACTCAATGACTCCATGAGACAGGAAGAACTAGAACTAAAAAGAATCAGGAAGATATGAAAATAAAATAAAGAGATTAAAAAAATAGAAGAAAATGTAAGGTGTCTGATATGCATAAAACACTGACTGGAGAACAGGACATGAAGGGATAATTTAAGCATCTATTGGGTTCTCTAAAACCCATAATTTTCTTTTTAAATCCTGGTCACTATATTTCAAAAAATCCTAACTGCAAACTGCCCAGATGTATTAGAAACAAAGAACCAAGTAAAGATAGAAAGAAGCCACCAGTCACCTTCAGAAAGGGAAAGTTCCAGGAATGGTATAACCAAAGTCTAGAACCTCCATGTCAAAGAAAAATACTGAAAGAAGCAAGAAAGGAGTCAAATACCAAGAATCCACAATCCGAATCACACAAGATGTAGTTTCTATTACAAATGAAAGAACATGGAATAAAATATTCCAAAAGGCAAGAATAATTTGTCCTGCAAAGCTAAGCATAATGCTAAAAATGGACCTTTAATGGGGGACTTTCAAGCAATTCTAATGAAAAGATCAGAGCTGAATAGGAATCTTAAAATGCAATCACAAGACTCAAGAGAAACCTAGAATGGTAAATTTACTTGAGCAATTGCAAGCAGCTATATAATGGTTCAGTATTAAAATTTTGATGAGAGAAAGTGTCCTTTCAAATAGACTTAACTCTTAAATGAACTGGAAAAAGGACAGTTGAGTGAACACGAACACACACACACTCCCCCCCCCAACAGTGAAATAAGTGGGCAGAGAGGCGATAATACCAGGGAAGGAAAGAATAGTTGGAGTTAAAAGGGGGGAAAAGCAAAGATCTAGAATCTAAGGGGCGTCAATCAAATGAGGAATGGCTGAATAAATTGTAGTAGATGAATATACTGGAATATTATTGTGCCATAAGAAATTATGAAAGATGATTTCAAAGAACCCAGGGAATTTTAACTGATGCTAAGTTAAGTGAATATACCTAGGAGAACAAAAATCATATGTAAAAATTGCTCCAATTCAATAATAATAACAATTAAAATTAAAACTAACAGCTCTGAGGTTTTGCCTTATATGTCAAATTGACAAAGACAGTAAAAGACAGTCAGTGTTGGAGGTATTATGGAAAGATGGATACACTACTGGTGGAGCAGAGAACTGATCTAAACATTCTGGAAATAATTTATAAATACATAAGTAAAGTTAGCCAACTGTTCATATCCTCTGATGAAGCAATCCCAATATTAGGTCTATTCCAGGAATACACTAAATGACAGAAAAGTCCCATAGTGACCAAAACATTCTTACTAGTACTTTTTTTTTTTTTAAAGCAAAACTGTAAATAAGTACATCTTCATAAATTAGGGATTGGCTGACTGAACTGTGGTATGTGAATATAATAGAAAATTATTATGCTGTAAAGGATGATAAATATGAATAGTCCAGACAAACATAGAAAAATCTGTATGAAGAAATGATGCAGAGTTCAGAAAGAAGTAGGAAAATATACAAATGACTACCATAACAGAAAAGGAGAAACATAAGAAGACAATTCAGTTCAAATACAATGACTGATGTTGGCTTTTAATGACTGATGTTAAAACACACTTCCTCTGATAAGAAATGGTAAACTATGAGTTACATAGAAAATAGATTTGGAACTGAAAAAGACCTTGGTTATTATCAAGTCTAACCATTTGGTTTTAAAGAGATGACAACTAAAAATCAGAGGTAAAGGGACTTGCCTCAGGTCCCACAGGTAGTAAGGAGTAGAAGTAGGATTCAAAACCACATCTCCTGACTCCAAGTCCACTCCTCTGTCCACTGTGCCACACTGGCTCTCTTAGTGTTTTGTCAATCACTTGTAACTACTCTATCAGAAAGATTTTGGTTTTGGCTTGTTTTTTGGTATGGAAAGGTACTATGGCAGGAGTCTCAGGAAGTGATTATTGTACATAAAATGCATTGGTAAATTGTTTTTTTTAAGTTTAGTTGTGTTGAAAATTGACAGTCACGTAGCTGCTAGCATTTAAAACCATTTACTATTAATAACCTTTGACTTACTTTTTTATTTTTTGGCTGTTGTCCTCATTTTCTTTGTCTTTTATCTGCAGTGAATTGTTAACATTTTGCAAATTATTCATCAGCTGTGTGACTTCCTCCTTTAATTTAGCTTCCTTGTCACTTAATTCTTTGGTATTTTTGTTGGAATTGTAAAGATTTTCTTCAAACTCTTTCAGATTTCTTTCCAGTTTCAAAATAATAGATTCTTTTTCCAGAACTACTTGTTCCAGCCTAGCTAACCGATTATCTGCATCCTTCTTGGTCTCCAAGATAGTTTCAAGTTCTTTTATTTTCTCCTTCAGGCTGGTGATTTGTTGTGTAAATTCTGAAAGTGTTTTCTCTGACTCAATTACATGATGTTCTTCAACAGCAAGTCTAATTGTTTTTCCTTCTAATTCTTCTGAAAGCTGATTAATGATGTTTTCTTTTTCCTTTAGTATATCACCCTGATTCTTATTTTCACTGATTTCCAGTTTTAGATGATTGTTTTCCTCCTTAACATTTCTCACTTCTTCATGTAATTTTTCAATTTGTTGCTCCAGTTGCTGGATCTGGTTGCTTTTATTGGAGGAGATATTCACCATCGCCTTGCACTCTTCCCAAATGGCTTCAATGCTACAGTGAAAAGAACTCTTTCTCCTAAAGCACTCAGTATCAGATTCTCCAACTTCTGCATTTACAGAATAGTCCTCAGCATCCATGGTGGATGGAGGATTTGACAAATTATCATCAGGATAATCTTTCAGAAGGTCCTTTAGATTTTGTGATTCTGCGTTTAGAGTCTGAGGCACACAATCAAGCATACGCAACTTGTCTATTTTTGTTTGCATCATTTTTATTTGTGCCACTTTATTTGTGATATTTTGTCTGGTTGGTGCTATCTCCTTCAGCAGTTCCATAACCTTTTCTTCTTGTTCTTGGTTTATGGTTTTCTGTACATGTAATTCAGAAACTGCGCTCTCATAATCAGATCTAATTTGTTGAACCTCTATATTTAACACAGAAGTTTTCTCTTTTGAGCAGGACAACTCCTGCAGCAAACTTGCAATCTGTTGATGTAATTCCTCTTTCATTGCCTTTTCGGTTGAAAGTTCCTTCTCCATAACAAGTACATCTTTCTGTAATCTTTCTTTTTCCTCCTGTAAATCTCTAATTTCTGCTTCTTTCTCTGAAATGTTTTGTTGCAGATCTCCCGTTTCCTTCTGCTCTTCAGGGAGGGTGGTGCTAATATTAACAGGTCCTATAAAAATAAAATTGTTATTATTATGGAAAATTTCTGTAATAACAAAAAATCTCTTTAAAAAGCAAGACCACTCAAATAGGCAACATTTTGAAACATTCTAATAAAAATGCCTACATTTATCCCTAAAGAAATTAATCTGAATAGCATATTTAACCAAGAAATCTTGGATCGTGTGTTTTGATATAGAAGTCATGGTTTACTCCTACAGAGTTAGATCCTACTAAATTTCTGTATTTGACACTAAATATGTTGAACCCCAGGTCTACATATAATACTTCTTTTCCACGGTTACTTTGAAGAAAGTAGGGCCATAAAAAATAAGTTTAATTTGTAGGTTGGCATCGCCGAATCACATGGTTTTGCACTGGGCCATTTCAGGACAAGAAGAACGATACAAAAGGAAGTTCTCCCTCAAAAAGTTTCAAATCCAGTGCACCTAATAATACACTTCAGTTCTTACCTACTTCTCCATAAACTATACTACAAAAAAATTATAAACTTTTTGGTTTGGGGATTGCTTTCCAAACTTGAATACATTTTCCTTAAATGTATTTTAAAAGTTGATTCATTTATCACTAGTCCAATGTTCTTCCCATTTATCATACTGCCTTCCTGGTAAAATAATTACTTTATAAAACAGGGGGCCTGAAGGGGAAGTTATTACTCCATTCTTTATTTTCCCTAGTCTCCACCTAAAAGACATTATCCCACATTACAATATTGACTATTATGTTTCACAATGTTATTCTGTTTAAGTGAAAAATATTAACATTTTTTCAGCTACCTTTATTGAAATAGTCTGTGGATTCTTTTTTGTGAAAGGGAAAACAAATTAAAAAGTAGCTATTGTGGCAAGATCTCTGATATAAGAATGTTGATAATAAATAAAAGCAGAATATCTTTTCCAAAGATGTAACAAACTATCTAACAATTATATATGTGTGTATATATATGTATGTATGTATACACACACACATATGTTTGGGTGTATATTTGTTACCTTTTATCTTGTATTAAATATTTGTTGTTGTTCAGTTGTGTCCGACTCTTCGTGACCCTATTTGGGGTTTTCTTGGCAAAGATTCTGGAGTGGTTTACTATTTCCTTCTCCAGCTCATTTTACAGATGAGGAATTGAGGCAAATAAGATTAAGTGACTTGCCTACGGTCACACAGCTAGTAAGTGTCTGAGGCCAAATTTGAACTCGGGAAGACAAGTCTTCTTGATTCCAAGCTCAGGGCTCTACCACTGTGCCACCTAGCTCCCTTGTATTAAATACTACTAATTCCTTAACATGGATGGCCCCATGAGCAATAGAAATACCTGAAACTTCTTTGATGAATAAACAGCAAACATCAAATATTTATCAAAAGATAGGATACTAGACAATATTTAGAAGTTTCATCAATAGTTCATTTTGCAGTAATTTCCCTAAAAGTTTATCTTATAAAACCAAAAAAAACTCTTTTGTATCTTAACTGGGCTCTCACAAAAGCTATCCAACATTCTATTTCTCCCTAAATGATTCACTATGTTACTCTCCAGTGTCTGTTCCAGACCTTCTTGTCTCTCCTCCAGCCTCCCCAACAACCTACCGCACCTTCTCAACCAAAGATCTCCTGAAGTGTCACTGGAGTCTGAATTATCAATCACTAATTCCTTTGATAGATGGCATTCCATCTTCTAAATGTTCTTAGGATTTTTGAGGAGAATGTGCAACTTTTGAACAGCTCTAATTTTGAGAAAGTCTTTGATTTCCTTACAACTTTGACTCATTACTTCAGTATATTATTTCCGGCAACCTCAGCTATTCAAAGCACAGATGAGAGCCTGGAAGTAAGGCTAAAAAGGGTCTGATTAATCTAAATGATGCCACCAGGCCCATGCACTAAAGCTCAGGTATCTTTTGGAGAAAAGAAAGCCACTTAACTCCTCATTTAGTTCCTGTTTATTCTTATTTTACACAGCACGGTTAGACCACAACCATTAGCATCTCCAAATCAAGTGCAATCAGGGTGCTCTACAGGTGTTTCAAAAGTCATAGTGTAATCTTAAGGCATTAAAGCTTAAAACTACACTATGGCTTTTGGGACACTCTGTAGAGAACCTCCCAAGGCATTCACTTACCCCACCCTCTCAAGCTGAAGACTCTGTCTCATACTTCACTAAAAAAAATTGAGACCATTCATTGAGAGATCCCTTTTCTCCCCTTCTCCTTATCTCACACTCTGACATCTCAATTTACTATTCCTTCTTCAATCTAGTCTCAGATGAAGGTCCTTCAACCTTCCCAAGGCACAACTCGTCTGTAGGAACTCTCAATGTCATCTACTCCCAACTTCTCCAACAAATTACCCACCACTATCAACCCCACTCTTTCTCTTATCTTGGATCTTTCTGGCAGTATACATGCCCAGGTCTCCTCATCCTTACAAAAACCTCACTTGATCCAACCAGCCCTATTGGCTATAATCCTACAACTTTCCTCCCTTTCATGGCTTAACTCCTTGGACAAGCTGTCTACAATCCACGCCTCCAATTCCTCTCCTCTAACTCCCATCTAAACCCTATACAATCTAATTTCCAATCTCATTCTTCAACTGAAATTGCCCTCTCTAGTTACCAATTAGCTCTTAATTGCCAAATCTAAAGGCTTTTTCTCAATACTGATCCTCTGCCTCTATAGCATTTGACACTGTCAAATACCACCTTTGAAATACTCTCTCCTCTCTAGGCCTTTTGACACTGCTCTCTCCTGCTTCTCCTCCTATCTATCCAACCACTGTTTCTCAGTCTCATTTGCTGGATCTTTATCCAGGTCACACATGCTGTGGGTATCTCCCAAAAATTTGTCTTGGATCAATTCTCTTCTCCCTTTACCACTGCACCCTTGGTGATTTCATCGGTTCCCATGCATTCAATTATTATCTCTATACAGATAATTCCCAGATCTATACATCCAGGTCTAGGCCCTTTGCTGAACTACAGTCACGTATTGCCAACTGCCTCACTGATATTTCAAACTGGAAACATCCATCGCCTTCTCACACTCAACATGTCCAAAACAGAATACATCATCTTTCCCCTTCAAATCTTCCCCTTTTCTGAACTTCCCTATTATCAATGGCACCACCATCTTCCCTGTCATCCAAGGTCACAACTTCATTGTTGAAAATAACTCTTCACTTTCACTCATCCCCATAATATCATTGCCAAATCTTGTCATTCTTACCTTCACAAAATCTCATATATATGTCCTTCCATAACACTAATTCAAGTTTTCCTCTCATCTCACCTTCCCTACTACATTAGCCTTTTAAATGTTCTCCCAGTTGAGGCTGATTAGCAATTGATTAGATATGTGGGGTCAAAGAGAGAGAGGAGTCAAGGGTAATAGCAAGGTTATGAACCTCAAGTCTCTCCCTACTTCAATCTATCCTCTTCTCACATGCCAAGGTAATTATTTAAAAGTACATTTCTGTCTATGTCACTATCCTGCTCAAAGAGCTCCAGTGACTCCCAGTTGCCTCCAGGATTAAATATAAAGTCCTCTCTTGAGCATTTAAAACTCTTTATAACCTGACCCCTTCCTATCTTTCCAGCCTTCTTACAACTTACTCCCCTCCATGCATTCTTCAGGCTAGTTACATGGGTCTACTCGTAGTTCTTCATAGATGATGTAACATCTCCCTATCCCCATGCCTTTGCACTGACTGACTCCCATGCTTAGAACAGTCTACTTCATCACCTCCATCTCTTGAGTTTTCCTGGCTTCCTTCAAACTCAGCTCAAATTCCACCTTCTACAAGAGGCTTTTCTCCCTAATTACCTTTATATATCTATATATTAACTATATACTATATGAGCGATATATCTAGTTATTTACATGTTGCCTCCTCCAATAGAATGTTGAGGGCAGAGACTATTTCTTGTCTTCCTTTGTATGTCCAAGCTTAGCACAATATGCAGCACATAATAAGCCTCAGTGACTTGTTGCCTAAAGGACTATAATTATATCTTATCAATAGTTAAAACCAAAGAAAAACTATGTTATCATCACAAATACTACAAACTGCAACTGAAACAGGATATATTTGACTAATTAAATAACTTCCTATAACTTCCTTCCTAAGTAGGTAACATTTGCCTTTTCTTCCAATTAAACAGTACCATTATAAACCCATTATATGATAGTTTGACCAGTAAAGAATGTTACCATAAATTTATGCAAGTTATCCACATGACTCTTAAATCACAAGGAAATCTTGGCTTATCAGACACAATAAAATCAATCTAATTTGGCCTCATCAATTAGAGAAACTTTGCCTGAACCATAATCTTTACAATAAGCTACAAATTATAAAACACTTTAAACTGCTGAAAAGCTATTTAAAACCAACATCTAACTTTAGAAAAAAAACTTTCACACTGATTCTTGCCTCTAAGTTGTACCCATCCCGCCCAAACCCCAATTTCTACCTGTTCAATTCAAACCATTTATTAAATTCCTATTAGGTATAAGGTACTGGGCGAAGAAGGAACCATTCCTACCCTCAAGGAATTTACATGGGGGAGAGAGAGAAGGGGAGGGTGTTTGTAGCTTTCTCCTACCGCTAAAGCTTAGCATCTAGGTACTTTCATTGTATTTTTAGTGAGAACCAGAAGAGTTCTTACTTCTCCTCTAATTTTTTCCTCTATGATAGCATTCTCTCCTTATATTGTGAATTCCTTGATAGGAGAGATCAGTTCCCTACTAGAGTTGGACACAAAGTATGTACTCAATCTTAGCATAATAGTACTCCTTAAAATCTTCTCTCATTTCAAGACCTAGAGTTCTCACAAAACATAAAAAGGTAGGAGAGAAAAGGCTAGCTATTTTGTTCCCTAACTTTGGTTTTATTTTTCAAGTTTTTATACCCTGCCTTCAGCAATTTCTAAAAGTCATAGAATTATAAGAAATCTCTAAGGCTCATGGCTAAGAGGTAGAGCCGAGATTA